GGAGTCAATGCTCAATGCACAATCATTAATCCACCCCAAGCCTAATAATTCTCATCAGTCTCCAATCTTCTGAAGCATAACGAACAAGTTCTTACATGGTGAACGAATTCTTACATAGTGAATAAGTTCTTACATGGTAAACAGTACAAGGGCAGTCATCGCAGAAACTTTCGTTTTGATCACGCATTATGAACTATAAACAATCAGGTCAAATATGAATATTCATTTGATTTTTTTACTTGATATATATGTGGATCCCACATTTCTTCCTCTATTATTATTATTATTATTATTATTATTATTATTATTATTTTTAATAAAATGCCGAAGTGGTAGGTAGATGCAAGACAAAGGTAGAAAACATAGTTTAGTGTTGTAAGAGAGCAAATATAGATGATCAGGTGTGTGCCTGTAGACTATGTGTTAATCCAAGCTAGACAAGGGCAATAAAACATCCACGGATGCAGAAGATTTCTCTCAAAACAGGGGCGGTGAGGTTCTAAGCCTCACCTCTGTTGATCCCCAATTTCTCACCTGATGGCCCCCCTGCAACTGTGCCTGTCTTAGGTTGTTCCTCCCTTGAGGAATCTTACCCGTCTCTGGCTAACCAGTCATCTTCCAGGGCCATACAGGGAAATGTAAAGTTGTAAGTGAGAGAGAAGCCTTATTGTTTGAAAAGGTTAGCTTTTTACTTCTTTGCATATTTATGCCCTGTGGCTTCTATGCCCAGCATTTGTCTTGAGGTATCTTTACCACTTGGAGGAATTATGTTACTCGGTAAATTAGATATGAGGCACGAATTCTATTTAAGGGTTGTAATTAGGAAGGAAGAAGAAAAGCTATAGAAGTAGCAGGTGGAAGAAAACATGGGAAGATTATTTCTTTGACATATTTTCTTGTAGAGTAACTTAAGCATGTATAGGTTTTAAACTACTAATTAAATTGCACACACACGTTAACATAATAGGAATACAGTTACATAACCAAAGCAGATCTATAATTACCAGCCATCTCCAGTGAAACCAAGAAAACCAGTTAGGCATCCTAGGCATTTGTGAAAATTTATCTATGTTATGATGGATATTGTCCAACTGTATTTGAACAGTCTGAAAGAAATCAGACAAATTAAAACAACCCATTCCTGGGAACTGTTCACATCCCATATGTTCTTTTAACAGTAGATAGTCTGTAGTTGTAAGATTTTGGAGCACTACAACTTGCTGTTGCATTTCTTTATGCACATAATGAACTAGCAGAAAGAGAAGTCAGGAAGACAATCCCATTTACTATTGTATCAGAAAGAACAAAATACCTATGGATAACCCTGTCCACACAGGTGAAAGACCCATACTCGGAAAACAATAAAACTTTGGTGAAAGAAATTGAAGAAGACACAAATAAATGGCAAGATATTCCATGCTCATAGACAGGAAGAATTAATATTGTTTAAATGGCCATACTAGCCAAAGCAATCACAGATTCAATGCATTCCCTATCAAAATACCAATCACATTTTTCACTGAACTAGAGCAAATGATCCTAAACTGTGTTTGGAATCACTAAAAGCCCTGAACATCCAAAGCAATCTTGAGAAAGAAGAACAAATCTGGGGGTATCACAGTTTCTGACTTTGAACTATACTACAAAGCTACAGTGATCAAAATGGTATTGTACTGTCACAGGAATAGAAACATAGAACAATGGAACAGAATGGAGCCCATGTTTATATGGTCAACTAATATATGACAAAGGAGGAAAGAATATACAATGGGAAAAGGGCAGTCTTCAGTAAATGGTGTTGGGATAACTGGACAGCCACATGTAAAAGAATGGAACTGGATCACTGTCTTACACCATACACAAAAATAACTTGAAATCAATTAAAGACTTATGTAAAATCTGAAATCATAAATTTCCTAAAAGAAAACATAGGCAGTAAGTTCCTGGATGTCAGCCTTAGCAAATTTTTCTGGATACATCTCCCCAGGCAAGAGAAACCAAAGCAAAATTAAACAAGTGGTACTACTTCAAAGTAAAAAGCTTTAGCTCAGTGAAAAAAACCATCAACAAAACGAAAAGGCAACCTACTCTTATGGGACAGTATATTTTCAAATGATATATCTGATAAGGGGCTATTATCCAAAATATATAAAGAACTCACACAACTCAACAATGTAAAATCAAATAATCCTAAGAAAAATGGACAGAAGCCCTTAATAGGCATTTCCAAAGAAGACATATGGATGGCCAATAGACACACAAATAGGTACTTAACATCACTAATCATCAAGGAAATGCAAGTCAAAACTACAATCAGATATCATCACTTCACATCTGTCAGCATAGCTATTATCAAAAATATAGGAAAAAGCAAGTGTTGATAAAGATGTGCAGACAAGGTAACCCTCATGCACTGTTGATGGGAATATAAATTGGTGCACCCATCATGGAAAACAGTATGAAGTTTCCTCAAAAATGTGATAGGATACCATACCATCCAGTAATTCCATTTAGTTTTTACACAAAGAATACGAAAACACTAATCTGAAAAGATCTATGCACCCCTGCTTAATGTAGCATTATTTGCAATAGCCACCATATAGAAGTAACCTAATTGTTCATCAATAGATGAGTTCATAAACAGCTGGTACATAGACATATTGGAATATTACTCAGCCATAAAAAGGAATGAAATCTTGCTATTGACAACATGGATTGACATGGATGGTAAGTAAAATTAGGCAGGCAGAGAAAGACAAATACCATATGATTTCACTTATATGTGGAATCTGAAAAACAAAACAATCAAGCAATGAAACAAAGAAAACAAAAACAGACCCATAAATACAGAGAAAAAATGCTGGTTTCTAGAGGCAAAATAGGTGAAGGGAATTTAGTGGTACAAACATCCAGCTATAAAAATAAATAAGTCATGGGAATGAAAAGTACAACACAGGGAATATAATCAATAATATTGTAATAAATTTGTGTGGTGGCAGATGATAACTAGACTTATCTTGACAAGCCTCTCATAATATATATAATTGTTGAATCACTATGTTGTAGACATATAATTAATATAATATTATACTTCAATATTGTAATTAATATACAACTATACTTCAATTTTTTTGAAAAAATGAAAAATTATTATGTATTATCTGCTATATGTGGGTTACTGTTCTAGGAGCTGTTTTTATATGTCAGTTTTTAAGGAAGAATGACACACTCCACGCTGTCATGTAGCTCATAGTCTAGTTGCTGCAGTGATAGAAAAAATAGTTTCAATAAAATAGTATGACTGTTAGTATATAAGAAAATAGAGAGGGATGGGACCATCCAGCAGGTTTAGGGAAAATCAGGAAAGCTTCTCAGAAGTGCTACTTCAGAAGAAATATATGGACCAGAGGGAGTTAACCAGTATAATAAGAATGAGGATGTCTTGTCCAGACCGCCGGGATAGTGTGTGTCATTCCAAAGGTGAGCGAGAGTGTATGGAATATTCATAGAACTGAAATACATTCATAATGTCTAAGGCACAGGGGCTAGGGAGGGGGTATGCAGGGAAGAGACTAAAGATGAGACTGGAGGAATAATCAGGGGCCAAACCAGGAAGGTGCGAGTAAACCATGGACTTTATCCTAAGAGCAATTCAAATTACAGGAGGTTTTTTCCTTATCTTATGAAAATTTTCATATATACTAGCTTCTCGAACTCTTAATAGTAAAACTAGTTAGGATCCTAGCCTACAGCATGTAACCCTTAAAGATATTGAAAGGCTTATTTCAATATGAATAACATTTTGTTGTCCATCTACTGTATGTATTTTATAGTACATATTGTTAGGCACTACATTAAAGCTTGAGGTATATAATGCCAATATGTATACAGAATCCTAACAAAGAAACCATGAAATCTTTATTATATATATTTATATTAATATACACTCATATACATATTATATATTTTAATATTTATATTATATAAATAGGACATTATAAATATTATATATGATATAATTTATATATGTATTTTAGTTGAGCTGAAATAAAAAAATAAAATTAAAATAAGTGAAATAAAATAAAATGGTAGTTGTACCATTAACATTTCACTATACTTGCTTTACCATATATCTACCCATCTATCCTGTTATCTAAAAGAAGGGTTTTAAGCAGAGGACTTAAGTGGTATGTAAAAAAATAATTGAAAGAATAAAGACTAGAGGCAATGAAAAAATATAAGAGATGCTGTAACTGTCTAGGAAAAAGATGATGATGGTTTGGACTGGTGAAGTGGTAATAGGGATAAGGAGAAGTGGATATGTTTAAAACATATTGAACATATGGCATCATCAGGATTTGGCAGATGTTTGAATACAGGGAGTGATGGAAAGATGAGTAGCTGTACTTAAAAGGGTACAGACTCAACAGCCAGACTATCTGGAATCCAATCCTGGTTCTGCCACTTATCAGCTCCCCCCTTTTCTGTGCCTCAGTGTTCTTCTTTTGAAACAGGGAAAATAACAATCCTTATCTCATAGGGTTGTTACAGGTATTACATGAATAAGAGAAGAAGAGCATGGAACAGAGCCTTGCACATAAGTACTATATAAGTGGACATTACTTTATTATTATTACTAATATTATTATATAAGAGGCCTTGGAAAAGTGTGGGTTTGAATCCCAGATCTATTATGTACCAGCTATGTGATATGAGATTCTTTTTGTTCATTTAAAACATGGAACAAACAGTACTTCCTTCATATAAGTTTTTGACTATTAATTTAAATGAGAGGAGAATATATATCTCTTATTTTTAGAATAACTGCAGATCTAATGTTATGTATGGGGATCTTCAACAAGAATTCTTTGTGATTATTTTCAGAGAGGCAGTAGAGTTGTTGGTAAAGAATCAGTAGGAAATAATGAGGGGATGGGGATGTGCAGCACACTATGTCTCAATGCTGAGATTCCAGGGCTGACCACACCTTTTCTCCTTAGGCTACTGCCATCCAACACTTAGAATCTGCAACCGATGAGTTGAACAAAATCCTGAAGGCCAAGTACCCCACAGAGATGAGCATTGCAACCAGGTCAGTTTTCCTTTGGCTCTCAAACTTTGGGATGTTTTGCCCCTGTTTCCTTGGTCAGAGACAGGGCTCATTTTGATAGCTTGGTGTGTTGAGGGCAAGGAAAGTATATGTTTACCTTTCCAGATCAAATTTCTCCTAACTCAAACCTCCTGAATAGAAAATTTAGGGGAAAAAGATGAGATTGGGGTGAGGGCTTATGCTATTCCAAAAAGATAAGATTGCAAGCCAGAGATCTGGAAGGATTATAGAAGGGAAACACAACATTCCATACAATTTAAGAGCATACCATAGCTCCCTACAATAGGGACACATCGTTTTCCATATGACACTGGGAAAGATCTCTTTAGTACCCACTACAGTTGCTTTCACATGGCCTGAGTCCAAATAACCATTTTCTCCTTTCTCCCCTTCTAAGTGTGTGGATCATTCATTAGTCCTGGGACTCTATGGGGTTCTTGCCAATTCTACCACAATCCTCCTTTGAGAAACACTTCCCACAGGGAAAGTCCTCCCAATGTCATTATGTTTGTACCAAATTGTCTGGGCCCTTGAACCACACCTGATTTGACCCAAGGTGAAAACCTGACTCACGTTGTATTAATGAAACATTCTTTTCTAGAAATTCAGAATTAGGACTAAGAAATTCTAGTTAAACTCTCTTAGGTACTTGCATGTTTTACCATATGGCAATGAAGAAGCAGAAACAACAGAAAAGGGAGAAGAAGAAGCAGAAGCAGGGAGAGAGATCAGGAAAAAGGAGGAGGAGAAGGAAGATGGATGTCATAAGAGAGAAAGGCTCTGGATCTCATGGTCCACATCACATTGTGCCATCTATTTTTTATCCAGATTCCTGTGCTCAACAGTAGAAGATTTTGCGGTTGATATTGTAAAGGCCTGGAGTTGGATAAAAGAGAACAATACAACAATAGAGTCTGTGATTTTAAAAGTAAGTTTCCACTCCTTCTATCTTGTACTCTTTGTGGAGCCAGGACCCCCTTTTTAATAAAAGTAAATGTGCCTCTCACTGGAAATTGTAAAAGAAAGGCAAGGAGGAAAAGCAGATGGAGCAAGTCCAACCTCATCAGACTTCCATATTTTACCAAATGAAGAGGGACACTATGCATGCTTATACATGTACCATATATCTAAGCATATGCCAAGCACATCTGCTCACAACTAGACACAAGTGTGCACAAGCATGTATGTACATGATTGTATACTACAACATGCTTGAAAATGTGTACAACTAAGTGGTAGAAATATATCCACATTCACCTCTATAACAAGAGCAACAACAATAGCTAACACATATAAACACATTGTGTCAGGAACTGTTTTGAGTATTTTTAATGCATTAATTTTTTTACTCCTCACAAGTGCCCTAAAATATAGAAGCACAAAGAAGTTAAGTAACTTGTCTCAGATCATAAACTGTTAAGTTATGGAGCTGTAAATCAAGCCATAATCACGCAGTACATCTCCAAACATACACAAAGGCAGACACCAGGCACTCACTTCCACACAGACATTTCTACATCCATAGGAACATGCCAATGAAAACAGCCATGCAGAAATGTTTATTTTCTCAAGTTTGCCATGTTACAGATTTTACAGGCCAGTCTGACACAAGAAAAACTCAGCAACATACATTGATGTCTGCAGCTGCTCAGAAACAAATATCTATTTGATCTCTAATACCCTTTAGTCATCTCTTCTCATCACATCTATGCAAGTACTTCTTTTCCCAAACTTTCATCTCCTACATATAGCTTTCTGTGCTCACTGTGTCTGGCCGCTCCTGATTGTGTTCTCTCAAGCACTGGTTCTTCATAACAATGTCCTGTCTCCCTCCGTCCTATATAGAGTAACTTAATGTATGACAAGCTCAGTGTCCTGGCTGAGGAGGCAACAGTTGAGAAGAGTGCTACATTACATGCAGACAATGGCAAAGCAGATGGAAAGCTCTTTGTCCCTCAAATAGACCACATAGCCATGTGCAGTTGGAGCTGGTCACAAAGGCCCAGAATCTCCAGAAGTCCTTGAAACTCATCATATTCCAAGTTGAACAAGGTAAGGGTACCAGGCTGTCATTGAGGCAGGGGAAAAGGAAAGTCCTAGTGGATGGTTTACTGGTCTCCCTTACTCTGCATGTGTGATTAGACTCCACTACCAAAACTTGACTAGATTCTGTATTCATATAGTTTCCGAAGTCAGTGATCAGATGCTGATTTGAAAAGCCTCAGTCCTTATAAACTGCCCCTTTGGCTTCTCCTGCCTCCCAGGCATTCAGCCCTTAATGCTCATTTATATTTGGAACTAACACTCATCCTAAACAATTACAGCTGCTAAGTGGCCTGGCTCAAAGTTTTGTCAACTTCCACCATCAACCATGGAATTTTTTTCACCTGCTTCTTTTTCTTTTAAAACACCAAGCCTGTGACTTTTCTAGAAAGAAAACAGGGTTTATCTTTGCATGTCCCTTACAGTATTAACAAGGTACAAGGGCCCTGAGAGTGGTCCTTGCAGCTCTGGCATTGATTGCCATTCCCACAATTCATGAAAATCTACAAGCCTCCAGCTCAGTATGAACTCTTTAAACTCCTCCAACTATTTAATGTAACATTTTAGTTCCCACTTCATCCCCCACATGGCTTCTTTTAAAAGAAGATGAGAAAATGGTATAAGGCCAAGTATGCTCTACCTAAGCTATTGGAATTCACCAGAAGTCCATGTGGCAAGGAAGGCCCTTACACAGGCTTTTGACTTTTAGCTATGGTACATTCTCCTGCCTTGGTATTTTTGGTGACAACTGTGGATAAAGTGCAGGTTCCTGTGGGCAGGATTCTCACTGGCCCTGGTCAGCTAGCTCACTACACACGTCTGAGCAATGGATTGCTATTGACTCTATATAAAGTATTGCGAGCCGCTCACTTGGGCGAAATGGGAGTGAACAAAAAACACAGACAACAAAGACAGACAAACAATGGCTGCAGTGTCCCTGATGTGGCGCAGCTCCTTTATTTTTATACTGCCTTTCTCAGACCCCAGCCAAGTGCTATACTCATCTTTTCCTTCTCAGTGGGGACAGGCCAGAACATCTTGTTGATTTTCTTAGAATCTGTCCAGTAAGTAGGGGCGGTGTTTTCACACATCCCCAAGGCCTCCCTGTTTTCAGCGTGAGGCCTTGGCTCATTTTCAAGGACAAGATATGCTTTGTGGGAAGATAACTTCCAAGGACTGTACCAGTTATTTTCAAGCTGGTGCTTCCCCATGCTGCATTCAGACATGGGGGAAGGTGCTTTCCCATTCTGCGTTCAGACATGGGAGAAGACAAAGGCCGTCCCCGTCAATAAAGAGTTCTGCCTTGTGCTCTGGGCGACATGGTGGCAAGGTTGCATGGCTGCAGGAGAGCAGAGACTGGAGTGGTGGCAGTGCCAAGGACAGAGACTGAGACGGCTGTGGTAGTAGAGAGGCCCAGAACCAGAGACTGGCTTGCTGCATGCAAGTGGGCAGGATTTTAGTGATTATCCTGCCACTGTAGAAATAAAGTTGGGTATAAACTCTTTCACCCCAAGAACATTCCATTCTCATTTTTTGGTCTCATTGAATCCATAGTGAACTTGCCCAGGGCTGAAACCCATTGACAAGACAATTGGCATAATCAGCAGGATTCATTGTTGGCCAAGGAAAAGAACAGGCTGCCCTCATGGGAGGAGTGTTTCTGTGGGCTGCACCTATGGATGGGAAGACATTCGAGCATCCCCCAGTGGACATGTGGTCCAATGTGGTTTGCCTCATAGAGGACTGGGCTCCACCCCAAGACTGGGAAGGGGTGAAGGCAACACCTGAGGCAGCAAAGTTGACCCTCAGCAAAATAGGGAATTCCTTAAAGAAAAAGAGTGCCCATGAGATTGTGGAAACAGTAGGGAGTTTTTTTCTCACAATTTGAGAAAGGCCTTAAGGGAGAAACACATCTTCCTGTAGGAAGCACAAGAAGAAGCAGCACAAGAACGTGAGCTGCAAGCTGCCTTTGAGGAGGTAAAAAATTTGTTGGTGACTTAAATGGCATCACTGCGAGGTGCTGTGGAAATGGTAAAGGATGCCAATGCAGCCTGAGAGGAAGCAACACGAGAAGGAGCAGCGACCTGAGAAGGAGTGGCACAAGAAGCCATGGGGCCAGTGAAGGATGTAGTGGAGCCGTCAGCCCTAGAAATGGAGGAGCAGAGGTTTGATGAACAGGTTGGGGTGGAGGCCCTGCTGGTGCCCGAGGCATCATCCCCTCCTCTGTTGAAACCCCACCCGGTTTAAAGTTGGTGGAAAGCCCAAAAGAAAATAAGGACTCGGCAACCGCAGGTTCCTCCAGGGCAGCCCTCACCCAGGTCCTGGAGCACTCTATGCTCCACCTCTCTACTCAGGCTCCAGCAATGAAAGCAGAAAAGGAAATACAGTCTGCTACTCGAAGGAAGAATTTAAAGGGCCCTGTGAAGGTCATGAGGACCCAGATGTGGGTTGATCTGATAAAGGCAGGAGCACACAGAAAGAAACTGGATGGAAATTCAAATAGAATCTTACTGGAGCCATGGCAACAACAAACTGGAGCAGCAGTTCCGGCCACTGAGGATGAAGCGGAACCCAGAGACAAAGTGACAAGACTGGCCTGTGTGTCTACAAGACTTTCTGCTGGGGAGGCTGGAGAAGGTGGGTGTTATAAGGCCCACCCATGGTCCTTCTGGTTAACTCAATTGTGTAAAACTGGCTTGAATACAGCCAGGATGACCACTTCGTGGCAATGGATCTCCTCAGGCTTGAGGGTTATTATAATTTTTTGTGGTTTTTGTTATTTGTATATTGTATTATGTTATTATGGAATTTGGTTATAATGTTCCAGCTGCCTCGCACAGGGACCATTGCAGAAGATTGAGGGCACATAGATTGAGAGGTAAGAATCCAGAGGGGTGGAGTGTGGATAAAGTGAAGTTTCCTATGGCCAGAATTCTCACCTTGCCCTGGTTGGCTAGCTAACTACACATGTGTGGGCAATATGTTGCTATTGAATCTATATAAAGAGTTCTGCCACAGTGCAAATGGGAGATTCCCTCTCTTTCTTGGAAACTTGGCTGAGGTTGTTGTCTTGCCAATGGGTTTCAGCCCTGTGCAAGTTTACTGTGGATTCAACATAAATCAGATTTAGAAGTGTAATTTGTGGCCATGAGACAAAGAATGGCACCCCTTGTAGGATAAGAATTGAACCTATAAGCTTTGGCACAAACTGAGCACCTGAGCTGTTCAACATATATGCTGGTGAAAAGGAGAGCTCTTGGATATTTTGGGTATGGGTGAGACATTTGAGTGAAAGAATGGCATGGTCCTAGAGGGTCAAGTCTGGGACAAAAGTCATGTGAGTAAATGAATTAACAAAGGGGTGAGAATGGAGGTAGAAGAGCAGAGAGTTTCCCACCCTGTTACCCCTACCCCTGGCCCTGAGCTTCTACTCACAACCACATTTACTGGGGGAAGGAAAAAGAGTAACCAGTAAAACAGAGAAAGCTCAGGCATGAATGTGAAAAGACACGGGGGCAATACCATAAGAAAGCTGAGACTACAAACAGCATCATGGAGGAGAGCTGTAGTCAAATGGAAGTCCCTGTCATCTATTCACACACTGACTGGCATTAACTAAACAAAAGAGATGCTCAGGAAACGTGACCAATCCATTCTCCTTTCCTTTCCTTCCCTTACCCTCCATTCCCTTCCCTTCCTTTCTCTCTTCCTTTCACTCTTCCTGGATGAGCAAAACCAAAAGACAATATTGGTCAAGAACTTTACTTCAACTTTCTTCCTGGAAGATGACTCAGAAGCTATTGACCAGATGAGCCCAAGACACTGTAAGGATCTTCTCTTCTTTTTTTCAAGCTTTTATCATTGTCTTCTAGTTTCCAGAGAATAAAGGTGTGTTTAGTCATAATCCTGCTCTGCAATAGATAACCTTCCCTCTTTCCTACAAGCCTCACATTATAAAGATTCCATCCCAATATCCAGAGTAAGGACCCCATTTTGTACTTTGAAAAGGCTGGCCTGATGAAACCCAAGATCTGAAACTGTTTTTACTGCCAGTAAACAAGCAGCCCAGCCTTACTATTCTTCCAATGGAAGTCCCTGTCCATCCAAGATGATCTCTTTGGAATGAGAACTCTGATAATCTAGGAGAAAGTCATTGAGTATGACCCTGCTCCTACAGAGAAAATAGGATGACACACAAGTGTGTGTGTGTATGTGTGTGGGGGTGTCTTTCTTGTTTGTATCTGACACTAAGATGATGTCTTTTGTATCTAGGTTCTCGTAGTGGCATTTTGTCTTCTATATCTTCTCTCAAAAGTGAGAACCTAGATAACCTCAATTTAGAGCACTTACATTTTACACCTGAAGCTAACGAAGTATTTAGTCCTATCACCTTTTTATGGCTTCTTCCTTTGTTTGGTTAAAAGAATAATTTAAGAATACCTAGAGTCAGATCCTGACTTCCCTTAGTAGTTCTGACCTTACACAAGTAATTCAACCAATCCAAGCCTCCGTTTCCTCATATGTAATATGAAAATAATTGTAGAACTTACCACATAAGTTTGTTGTATTTATTGAGTTTATATGTACAAAGTACTTGCAATGAACAGCGGTTGGCACTCATAACTAAGTGCTTTGTATGTTAACGGTTATAATTGTTGCTATTATTGTAAGCACTTAATAAATGTTAGCTGTTGTTATTTCAAGGGACCTGTTTTTCCACTGTTGCCTCTAACAGTAAATGATTGGAGGTGCTAAAAAATAAATGGGCATTTAGGGGGCTATATAATAAAACTAAATACATCTGTGCTATACTTCTTTAGAATATTCCAAGCAACCAAGTTCCATCACATTCACTCATTTGGAGTTCCATTAAGAGCAGTTTGTACGTCAGTTAGAGAAACTCCAATTCTGGACTGTGACCTCATGTGAGAGATGTGAGTCATTTTAGTAATGAATAAAAAAAAATCTATGATAGAGTGGCTAAACTGCCCATTTTCAGTTTCTCGAAAGGACACAGCTAGCAATTATTCAAGTTTTCTGAAGCTTCCCATTTATTCCTATCTCCAACTCCCACTTCCCTCTCCTTAAGCTCAGGTCTGAGGTCTCATAGATCTACCTAATGAGTTTTAATTAATGGTGTGCTGACAATTTTAAAACCAACTTTCTGGGAGAATAAAGCCCTGATTTATTCCTGGTATAAACCTTCTAATTTCAAGCTACTGATATGCCATTGAATGCAGAGTTGGAAAGTGATAGGAATAATCAGCTTCCATGAGTTGGTACTAACTGGCTCTAGCACACCACTGGTTTTGGTACTGATGCCCAAAATGGATGCAGAAGAATAAAAAAACTGCATGGGTTTTTTGATTGTATATATATCTACCTACTTTCACCAGTCTTTTCCCATAAATGTGTGGTCATTTTGCCCTTTGATATGAAAGTGCTACAAAGGAGTTCAGATGTCTCTGAAAACAGTCGTAGTGTAGACTTTACTCATTACTCATATATTTTTATCTGAGATACTTAGAAGTTCTTAATGGGAATAAATCAGCGCCTCTATTTTGCTTTATTGTATGTGGAGAAAATACCGGCCACTCCTATCTAAGGGCCTCCAAAGATGACTTCTTTATTATGAGTCTCAATCCCACTGACTCCTCCCAAATGACTGGGTGCCCTGTCTTACAGCTAACAAGCTAGTTGTTAATGGGACATCTGTATGTGCCTCGCAAGAACATTAAGGCTTGTGCTCAACATGGAGAAGGTCTTCCCTCAGTGATTTTCAATCATACAGATGAAGTCTTCAGCTCAATGATATCAGCACTTCTTTCCTGTTCTCTTTTTCCCTGTGGCTAATTTCAGACGGTTCAAAGAAAGGTGTGTCATAAACAACTATTTTGGAATTGGACTGGATGCTAAAATTTCTCTGGAATTCAACACCAGAAGAGATGAACACCCAGGACAGTACAAGTAAGGAAAAGAAACCCTCCTCCCTAAATACAAATACACAGTCAAAATACACACATGTATTCCTATTCCCTACTTCTCAGACAAGCAACAGAAAGAAAGAAGTCCTTTGGAAATAAAACATTGGTCCCAAGGTTAGTGGGAGGGCTTGCCCCAAATGTTGACCTAGTCTGTAATTACTCAGCACCGGCATACTGAGCCTGGAGCTGCCTTCATAGTCTAGAGCTGTGGATAGCAGTGTAAACACATCTAACTGTGTTACTACTACTGAAAACAGATCACATTGACTTGATTCAGCAAATTGCCTATCTTTGTTCTGTCTGTGAGAGTTTGACCAGGTCCTAGCAGTAGCTTCAGGACTGTTTATGCTTGGCAAAGCTGCAAAATATCAGAGATCGCCCTCCTGCTTCTTGGTGTTCCTAACCTGTTTCTCCAGACCCACTGATATTAACCCAGCTAGAGTTGGCTTGCTTGGCACCTTCTGGTACATTTGCACTACAGACATACTCTAAGGAAGCCTCACAGTTCCTGTGGTAAATCGAATCTACCAGTAAAAAGAAGCATGCCTCCCTTCCCCACCATGACCTCTGCCAACCTGCCACCAGAATCGCTTTCTCAGACCAGGCCTAGGCTAAGGAACAAGTATTTTATCACCTATGTTTTGCAAATATTGCTTCCCAGTTGCTTGTCTTTTCATTTTCTTAAGATGTCTTTCGAAATACAAAAGTTTTCAATTTTGATGAGCTCCACTTGATCATTTTTTTCACTTATGGCCCATGCTTTTGATGACTGAGAACTTTTTGCTTAACCCAATACCTTAAAATTTTGTTCCAAAGTTTTCTTCTAAAATTTTTGTTGTTTTTGCTCTTACATTTAAGTCTGTGATCTACTCTGAGTTGATTTTGGTGTATGGTGGGACAGCGGCTAAATCCATCTTTTTTGCACATGGATATCCAATTACCACAGCACCATTTTTTTTAAGCTATCCTTATCCCTTAATGAACTGTGTTGGCACCTTTGTTGAAAATCAAGGGTTTGACCATAAATGTAAGAGTTTTTCTAGACTCTTATTTCTGTTCTGTTGACCTATGCAAGTACCATACTGTCTGGATAACCATAGCTTTTTAGTAACTTTTGGAATTAGAAGATAAAAGCCCTCCAATTTTGTTCTTTTCCAGAATTGCTTTGGCTTTTCTAGGTATTTTGTATTTCTAAATAACTAAACTCTTGTATTTACAGATGAGGAAATTAAAGAGCCCAGAGAATTTGTGGTTTCAGAGTACAAACAGAATTTTGTGCTAGCCTTCTTTTTCATGCCCTGTGGTGGTTCATTTCTGTGGCTTTACTTTAAAAGCTCATAGTAGGTGGAGCCAGGATGGCGGCGTGAGTAGAGCAGTGGAAATCTCCTCCCAAAAACACATAGAGCTATGAAAACATAATAAAGAAAAATCTTGCTAAAATAGAGACCAGGACACAGGAAAACATCCAGACCACATCCACACCTGCAAGAACCCAGCGCCTTGCGAAGGGGGTAAGATACAAGCCCCGGCCCGACGGGACCCGAGCGCCCCTCCCCCTGGCTCCCGGCGGGTGGAAAGAAACCGGAGCGGTTTTTTTTTTGGCGAGCGCTTTTTGGAAACCTTAAAGGGACGGGCCC